AAAAAAAAAAAAAAAAGAAAAAGGAAAGAAAGAGCTGCCGGTGAGGAAGAAAATCGCGCGTACGCAACTCAGACAGGGCTGCCTTGGGGGACACGTTTTGGAGCATGGGAGGGAGCGGGGACTCCCCCTACCCGGGGAGCGCGGGGGCCGCCCGAGGCGGTCGCCGAGCTGGGAGACAGGAGGAGGAGGAAGAGGCTGCCGGGGAGGAAGGCGCCGGGAGGAGGATGTGAGCGGGGACGGGCACGGGGGGCAAAGCCTCGTCCGCGGCCCCTAAATCCCGGGAGGGAATTGTCCCCCGAAGGGCATTTCAGGTGGTCACTCCCGTCGCCTTTTCTGGGCGTTTCCGCCAGGAAAAAAAAAAATAAATAAATAAAAAATAAAAGCATCTGTGAATGCCCGTCCGACTGTATAACTGCAAAGGAGTCCATCCCATTCCTGAAAAACGGCACTTTAGGACACCAGCCAGGCAGTGGAATTCGAGTTTTGTTTTATTTTTCCTTTATTTCATTTTATTTTTTAAGAATGAGCACTCAGAGTGCTTGATTCGAGTGAGGAATGAGAAGGAATAAAAGGGACGTCGCTTGACTGTGTGGTTACCAGAGGTAACTTTCCTAAACTTGCAACGTTAAAAAGATTTGGTTTTATTTCATGTGGTAGACAGTAGTAATTAACCTGTGCTGAAGATATCAGAGTGTTTTCAATAGAAAATAGCTGTAGGACAGTATTATTTAATTAGACCATGACTGAAAGCAATTCAGATAATTGGAAATACTGGTAAATCCAACCACAGCTATAAAAACACTTTTAAAAGGTATTAGTCACTGTTGAAATGGACCAAAGCTCATCTCTAGTTTGAAGCATGTAGATAGAAAGGTGTTTAAATATATATATATAATATATAAAAATAAATAAATATATGTATGTATATTTATATATAAATATATATATATTATATATATATATTAAGCACCTTTCTATCTACTATATATAATATATATATAATATATATAATACATAATGTATATATTATAAATATATATATAAATATATATATATAAAAGTCTGCAGTGGAGAGATATAAGGAAAGTGTATGTTAGCATTTTTCTTCTCTTTAGAATCCTTTCATCTTTAATGAATAAATGGCTTGCATTTTGCTTTTAAAAACGCTATCTCTTCACATACAATAATAGTGATGCTAGTGTATTGCATACACAGCTAATTTAACATTCATTTAACATACAGGTATTCCAGCTTTATCTTCCCTCATTTCTCTTTTTCAGAATACTCTGAGGCTACCAGTAGTCTTTAAAATGTGTGTCTATGCTGTTTAACATTCCTTAAGGATAACCATATACTAACTTAATAGGAGTTTGACACTGCGATTGCTTGAAGCTAATCGTTAATTTGAACACACCGCAGGTAGTAAACTGTTCATATATTTCTGTAGACAGTTTTTGGTTGGCAAGAAAGCTCCAAGGCAACCCACATGTATTAGTACTTTATTTTTAGAGCTAGCATATGAAATATAAAGTTAGAAGTATTTATACTTTTTGAAGAATCTCTCTCAATGATTCATCTTTATTTCCATTTTTATTCAGAATAGTTTTAAACCCTGCAAAATTATTTATTGAAGGATGAAAGATACTGATTTTATCAGGAAATTAAGACCTCTAAACAGAAAAAAATTWAAAAAAAAGGAGGACTAATGAATAATTTTCACATATTCTCCATACATACCATTGCATATATTCTCCACAAATGCCATTAACTTCATGGTAAGGAGAAGCAGATTTACCTGCTTTGTTTTCTCATCACRTTTCAGATCAGTGCACCTTTCAGCCAAGCATCTTTCTTAGTGGCTGCAACCACCCTCCCACTTACCTGTAGTCCTTTCATGCTCCCTATCCAAATYCTGTCAGTTTAACCACAGCATGATGATGCAGAAAGCAAAAAAAGATAAAAGAAAAAGAAATACTGGTCTACACTTACCTTCATCTGCCACTGCGGGTCTTCTCTATGTATGAGTGGCTCTGAACACCAGCGGAGAGGTGGTCATGAAGGTTTCTAAGGAATGCCTGCACCTAGCTTGAGAGTCCCCTCCCAACCAGGTCTTTGCAGCAGTTTTAAAGAGACAAATTGACTTAGTTTTAGTATAGTTTGTTTTTTCTAGCATTTGGAGATGAGTTTGTCATTGAGCCAAAAGAAAAAGAAAGGGTTTTTTTTTTTATACAGCAATATATTTTGCTATGATTGAGCTATAAAGAGGAGAGAAAAAATAAAAGAGAAAATCTTAGAATGCAATTTATCAAGCTTAAACCAAGCTATTGATATAAGACTTGACCTCCCCAAAAATATTTCCACAATACTTATGGAATTTTATTGCTTGATAATGGATAAGAATCTACTAATATGTGTAGATAATAATAGAGGAAAYATTATTTTCCTCTATATTTATCGATATCTAGGAAAAAGTATGTGTGCTACTCCCATTGTATCTTAGATTTCTTCCCTGAAGAATATAAGGACGAATGTTCTGTTGAAAGAGTTACCAWAAATTAAAGCAATGATTGTGAATATGATATGAGTGTCCTGTCTAGGAAATTACAAGAGTGAGATGGKAAACTCAAATAAACATCTTGCAACAGATGAGTAAGAATTAAGTTGACATTTGCTTGATGCATTTGTTGAAGTTACCTGGGCTTTATTGAGGGAAATTTGTGACATCCATATAAATATTATATTTTTCCTACTTGCAAGTCCAGTTTTGAAGTGGAAAGTCAGAATTCAAACTGAAGGGCACCATAAAAATGTACCAGAAATACATCAAACAGCAGAAAACATTAGAAAAATTAAAGTGAGGGAAAAGGCGATTGTCTGCAGTCTTCTTASGCTGTCTTTTGTGCAGATCTTCTCCTCCTTCCCTATGAACATCCAGTAGTGYACTGAGACTATTTCCTTGTAAAACTGCCACAGTGAAATGTTTGAAAGTGCATACTAAGTATAGATACAAATGCTGGAAATGTAGAAATGAAAACGTTTATCTTG